TTTCATTGTCGAGTTTACATTTTTGTTTGTCTCAAGATATTTCATTATTTTCTCTTCAATTTATTTGTTGACCCATTGGTTATTTACTTGCATATTGTTCAGCCTCCATATGTTTTTGTTTTTTCCAGTTTTTTTCTTGTGATTGATTTTCTAGTTTCATACTGTTGTGGTCAGAAAAGATGCTTGATGTGATGTCAGTGTTTTTAAATTTATTGAGACTTGTTTTGTGGTCTAAATGTTATTTATCCTGGAGCCTGTTCCATTTGTACTTGAAAAGACTGTATTCTGTTCTTTTTGGGTAGAATGTTCTGTATATATCTGTTAGGTGCATGTGTTCTGATGTGTCATTGAAAGCCAAAGTTTCCTTATAGATTTTGCATATACCTGTGTTGTCATCTGTTGATGTAAGTGGGTGTCAAAGTTCCCTACTTTTACTGTATTACCATCAATTTCTCCCTTTATGTCTGTTAATATTTGGCTTATATATTTAGATGCTTCTCTGTTGGGTGCATAGATATTTACAGTTGTTGTATTCTCTTATTGGGTTAATCTCTTTACATTAAGTAACGCCCATCTTTGTTTTAAAGTCTGTTTTGTTTGATGTAAGTATTGCTGTCTCAGCTTTTGTTATTGTTTCCATTTGCCTGGAATATCTTTTTCCATCCCTTTACTTTCAGTCTGTATGTATCTTTAGGTCTGAAGAGAGTCCCTTGTACGCAGCATATAGATGGGTCTTGTTTTTTTATCTATTCAGTTACCTAGTTACTTTGATTGGAGTATTTACGTTTTTTGATTGGAGCATTAAATGTTCATTTACCTTTAAAATCATTATTAATATTTACTGATTGCTATTTTGTTAACGATTTTCTAGTTGTTTTTGTAGTTCTTCTAGTCTTTTTTCTTTGCTTTTCTCCCTTGTGATTTGATGACTTCTTAAAAAATTTTTTTTTAATGTTTATTTTTGAGACAGACACACACACACACACACACACACACACACACACACACACACGGAGTGTGAGCAGGGGAGGGTCAGAGAGAGACACACACACAGAATCCGAAGCAGGCTCCAGGCTCGGAGCTGTCAGCACAGAGTCTGACCTGGGGCTTGAACTCACAAACTGAGATTATGACCTGAGCCGAAGTCAGCTGCTTAACAGACTGAGCCACCCAGGCGCCCCCGATGACTTTTTTTAGTGTTAGGCTTGGGTTCTTTTCTCTTTGTTTTTTTGTGTATCTGTTACTTGTTTTAGGTTTGTGGTTACCATGAGGTTCAATATATAACATGCTATGTATATAGCAGTCTATTTTAAATTGATGGTCACTTAAGTTCAAACACATTCTTAAAGCACTTTTGTTTTATATATTTGATGGTACATTTTATATCTTTTTATTTTGTGTATCCCTTAACTAATTATTGTAAACAAAATTGATTTTACTGCTTTTGTCTTTAACCATCATACTAGTTTTATGAGTGATCTAATACTTTCACCATATATTTGCTTTTCCTGGTGAAATTTTTTCTTTTCATAACTTTCTTCTATTTATGGCCTTTTCTACCTTAAGAAGTCCCTAAAGCACTTTTTTTTAAGGTCAGTTTAGTGGTGATAAAGTTTTTTAATTTTTGCTTGTCTGGGAAACTATCTTTCCTTCACTTTGAATGATAACCTTGCTATGTAGACTATACTTGGTTGTTGGTTTTTTTCCTTTCGGCTTTTGGAATGTCATGCTACTCCTTTGTGGCTTGCAGAATTTCTGCTGGAAATCAGCTGATAGACTTAGGTGATTGTTGCTGTGTACATAATATTTGCTTTTGTCTTGCTGCTTTAAGATTGTCTCTTTAATTTTTGACATTGCATTATTATGTGTTTTGCTGTGGACCTCTTTGGGTTCATCTCCTTTAGGGCTTTCTTTCCTTCCTTGGCATGGATATCTGTTTTATTTTCCAAGTTAGGGAAATTTTCAGCTATTAATTCTTCAGATAAGTTTTTTTGTCCTCTCTCTTTTCTATCTGGGACCCCTATAATGCAAATGTTAGTATGCTTGATGTTGCCCAGGCGTCCCTTTAACCTATTCTTTAAAAATTCCTTTTCAGGATGAGTCCCACTACTCTGTCTTCCAGATTACTCATTCATTCTTCTGCTTTCTCTAGTGTATTTTCCACTTCATGTTTTGTATTTTTCAGCTCTCATAGATTTGTTTTTTATATTTTCTTAACTCCTTGTTTAAATTCTGAATTCATCTATTCTTATCTCAAGTCTGGTGAGCATCTTTATGACCATTATTTTGAATTCTTTATCCAGTAGATTGCCTATTTCTGTTCTATTTAGTCCTTTTTCTGAGATTTTGTCTTTCTTTCATTTGGATCGTATTCCTCTATTTCCTTGTTTTGTCTGTCTCTCTGTTGGTTTCCATATATTAGATAGGTCACCTGTGGCTCCTGGTCTTGAAAGCAAGTGGCCTTATGTAGAAGGTATTCTTTGGGCCAAAGTAATACAATTTCCCTTGGTCAGCAGAACCAGGCACTCCAGGGATAGTCCCTGTATGGGCTCTTCGCACCCTCATGTTCTGACTGGGCCACAGTGCTCCTGGCTGAGAGGCCTGTTGTGAGTGTGGTGGTGGTGGAGTTAGCTCCTGGTATAGCTGGCTGCCAGGCTCCACTGTGACATGCTGAGCAGGCATGCTCGGGGGTGTGGAGCTGGGCTCCTGGGCCCCTGGCCTTTCCCAGGTCAGGAGTTGCTTTGGAGGGGTACCTGCCAGAGCAGATAGGTTAAATAGGGTAGGTCTGCAGGGGAACACTGGACTGGGTGAACAGTTCTACCAAAGTAGATGGGAGAGTTTCAGAACTGGTGGTGCCTGCCAGGAGAGGGCCAAGTAGGCTGAAGGAACAAAAGAAAGATGGCAACTGCCAATGCTTCCATTTCTGGAGAAGTTTCCTACAGAAACTTGCTTTCCTTGTGCAGATCCCCAGAGAGGGAGGGTACTTTATGTAGGGCTTCATCCCTTTGCTCCTTAGGTAAGACCTCTGCACCTGTGATATCTGGTTCCTGACTATGTCGCTGCCCCTACTATCCTTTTTTTGATGGGCTTTTTCTGTATATCTTTAGTTGTAGAAGAGGTGTTCTGCTAGTCTTCAGGTCATTCCCAGAGTGAGTTGCACTGTATGTACTTGTAGCCGTGAGTGTTATGGAAGAGAGAAGCTCTGGATCTTTGTTCTCTTTCATCTTACGGTAACTCCTTTCTTTTTCTTTCTTTTCTTTTTTTTTTTTTT